TTATGCTTACTTTCTTTCCTCTTCCAATCTTTCCAATACTAGCAATGTGACTTTTTTTATTTCCTCTAAAGGTAACATAACCTCCTTCTCTTTCCAACAATTCTATGAATTGATCTATATCTTCGATCATGTGCCTTAAACACCACCTATTGGCTATGTACCATATTTTCTTTTTCTTCTTTGAGACAATGCAAACGTCATTTAACTTTAGGTACCCATTTCTTCATATATCCTTTCTTGTTAGTAGATTTCCTAGGTACACTGGTACCTTTTGGAACCCATTTCATAGAACCACTTAAGCCATTTTTTCTATGAAGGCAAGACTTAACATGATGGCCCTTCTTGTTATAGTAAGCATAAGTAATTAAAGGACTAAAGGAAAGCACAAAAGGCTTAAAATAACTATGATATAATTTTATGGCCTTATTTGGCTTCTTCTGAGATGTATTAGTTGTGAGATTATACCCAATATCTGATCAATCAAAGATGCACCTTTGAGAGCCAATCAAAATGTTTAGCATCTTGGTACCCTGAGTGAACTTGGCTAAATCCCTTTTCAAAGTGCCATTCTGATTGCCTAATGTAATGCATTTAGTACATGATTCAAATTTATCTCTTTCTATATTTTCTTTGATAGATGATGTGTTTAGCTTTATTTCTAATTGAGAAATTTTCTTTTTAGCTCGCAAAAGTTATTTACATTATTCTTGAAATAAATAAAACATATCATTATATTTAGCTTAGAACATATCAGAATTTACATCTTCTAATTGTGACTCAATCAGATCATCATTTGTTCCTCTGCTACAAGACATAAGTTAGCAATCTCCTCTTCTTCTTCATCTTTTGATAAGCTATCTTCTCAAGCTACAAAGGCCTTCTTTTTGTTGGGTTTCTCCTTCTTTTTTTCTTTCTTATGCTTCTTCTGCCACTAACTATAGTCCTACTTGATGTGACCAGGTTTCTTGCATTCATAGAAAGGGAGAGATTTCTTTGGATCTTTCCTGTTGTTACTAGAAGACTCATTTCTAAAATTTTTCTTTCCTTTGTGAAATTTTTTAAATCGCCTCACCGTCATGGCAAATTCTTCATTCTCATCTGACTCCTTGTCTGATTCTACTTCTTCTTTGGTAATTTTTAGAGCAATCCCCTTTTTCTTTTTATTCATATCCTCCTTTTATTGTATTGTAAAAGAGTGTATTCATGCTCTTCCAAACTTCCAAAGAGTGTAGCCACTAAATGCACTGAGACACCCTAAGCTTCAATGATAGCTATGATCTTTGGCTGCCACTCTATCAAAAGACTCTTTAAAATTTTTCTTACTTCCTGTGCCTAAGTGTACATCTTCTATGGGTTCATCAAATGATTTATAATGTGAGCGAACCTTATCTGCATTTCTTTGATCGTTTCCTCATCCTTCATTTTGAAAGTTTCATACTCATGTATGAGACTACTCCTCTTATTCTCCTTAACCCCGTGTGTTCCCTCATATGCTTGCCTCAGAGCATCCTATATTTCTTTTGCAATTGTATAATGAGTGACCCGATAATAATCAGCACGATTGTGGGCACAAGCAATTGTAAGTTTTGCTTTAGCGTTGAGATTGATGAGCTACTTGTCTTCATCATTCCATTCATCTTTACTCTTTTCTCTCATGAGTCCATCATCTCCAACTGTCATGGGAATGTATGGACCTTTGGTGACGATGTCTAACATTTCTATATCAAGTGCTTTTAGATACATCATCATATAACTTTTCCAGAAAGGCTAGTCCTCTACTTTGAACACAAGTGGTCTGGTAGTTAACAATCCTTCACCAAGATTACCATATGCAAAATTAGCCATTAGTAAGATCTTTAACTCTGATTTTTAAATCAAATTTGAACAACTAAGCTTTGATACTAATTGTAAAAATAGCCCAAGAGAGGGGGTGAATTAGGCTAATTAAAAAATAAACAAATAACACAAGATTTAAATATAAGTCAGAAAAATATCACCAAATAGGACTAAGCAAAGAGAAGAGAAGCTTTACATCGAGTCTTTATCCTAATTTAGCTCTAAATCACTTGATCCTACGTCTAGTCTCCAAGACACTCTTGAGATTTTTTACTAACTCTTTCCAAGATTAATCTAGGCTCTTGGTTACCATATTACAATTCAAACTCTCCCGAGTTTGTTACTCTCCCCTTGCAAAGGTGCTATAAACCCCTCAAACTCTCTTAGCTTAAGTGACTTTTTCTCTTATGAGAAAAATGGAAGGAAAAATAGAGGATTCAATAATAAATCACTACTTTGAAAACTCTTTCTTATAGAGTAGATATTTAATCAATGAAAGTATAGAGAAAAACAAATGTAATAGTTGAAGGTAGTTAGAGAATGAATGCAGACAATTGGCTCAATTTACTTCACCTCACTTCTTCTTCGTAAATGAGTCCAATTTTTAGTTGATTTTGAAGATTTATCTGTTAGACTTATATATCTGCTGTTGATTACTTCAACTTGGGTTCTAAGAACTCTTTCATCTTTTAAGGCAATGAAACAGTGCCTTCTCAGCAGGTTTGCGTGTTGTTGATGCCTTAAGGAAACTAACGACTATATGCATTAAATACTCTAATAAAAGGTAAAAAGGAAAGATACTAATAGAGCAAGGTCATACGGGCAAAAGAAAATAATCAAAGAAAGAAGTAAGAGATTAATTTCACCTATAGTTATGTTGGGAACAATATTAGGATGATAGGAAAGTGAACACATACATTTTTGAGTTAGAAGGATTAGTGATATAAAAGATCCAGGATGCTCTATTTTTTAAATGAAAAATAAAAGAAAAAGTATTCAAAGATATACCGATAGAATTCAGGATATACTGATATAAGTATGAAGGTTTAAGATATGGCATTGAAGGCTTCACAGTGGTAGGTAAGAGACATATTGGTAGAATTAATTGTAGAATACATTTATTTAAAAATATATCTACTGGTAGGACAGAGACCTTGGGGTAGGAAATAGACATACCAATAGGTATGACATGTACCAGTAAAAGCGGCCTAACGATGAAAGTTTGTGCAACACGAGAGGACATTTGGGTAAAACTTAAACATATCGGTAGAAGTAAGACCTTCGGGTAGGTTAAGAAATATCGATAGAAATAGACATACCGGACATATACTGGTATGTTTAAGAACAAATTAGCAAAAGATTTTAATTCATTTTAATTAGAGCTAAATCAATTTTTGGATAGAAATAATTCAAACAACTATTTCTAAAATTTAATGAAATTAAGGTTTAAAGAAATTAAAGAATTTAAGTACAAAAGCCTTATTTCCTTAAATTGACAAGATTTCTTTGCAAAAACAGCTTCTCTAACTTTTTGTAATCATCAAACCAGGGTTCAACGTATATTAAATGCACTATTTGAATCTTCATGAAGAAAATTCATCACCTAATAGCATGTAGCAAACATACAAATATCTCAAGCAGTGATTTTAAAGCTGGACCGAACTGACCGGTCTAGATTTCGATTTGGTCAATATATGAAAACCATTTTGAAAGTTCAGCCGGGTTGGGCCATTTCAAACCAGTGGTCGAATCAAGAATTGGAATCAAACTTGAAACTGAATCCGGTTTTCAAGAACCAAATTGTTAATTTTTTTTAGTGAATTTTTTTTAGGAAATGACCAATTTTTTTAATCATTTGATATTATGTTGTATTATGTGGCTTGTTAAGTCATGATAAACTTAAAATATTGATATCTTAAGTTAAGTAGCAATTTCATATTTATTTCTTATATTTAAATTATTATATGCATATATAATTTTTTAATTTAATTATTACATCACTAGTTTAATCATTGATCTAACCTAGTTGAACCATGCGAACTGTGAACTGCTAACCTTTCTAGTTTAATGTTCGATCTGATTTTAAAAACATTAATCTCAAGTATAAATATCCAAAATTTCAAATATCACGCTATTTAATATTAATACTTATATCCATAGTTCCATACATATATATTCTAAACATAATATTCATCTCCCAATTTCATAATATCTACTTAAATTATACCAATTGTTTATTATCCAAAAAAGAACTAATATATTTAATCACAACTTTTCCTTAAGCAAAAAATAAACATTTATATGCTTAAAATTATCCAAAAAAATCATTCCATTTCAAGCGCCAATCTATTATTATTTGAGGCATAACACCTTAAATGAAGGAAGAAAATAAGTTAACACATGAATTAAAAAGTATTGGACTGGGTCAATGGGTTGGGTGACTGGTGTTGCAATTAATTAAATAAATATTATATAAATAAATATTATTTTTTAATCAGACTTGATTCAAGTTCAATTCAATTTCTATATCTCAAAATCGAGACCCAACTGAACCAATCAGTTTGTATGTCATAAAAACCGAAGCAAATTTGATCAATGATCGGTTTTGATTGATTTATTCTGGTTTGGGTCAATTTGGATTGATCTTTTTGTTTGGATCAGTTTTGAACACCTTTGACCCCACATTCTAAAACTTTTAATGTAAATGTAAAACATGATACAATTATGAATAAGATGTCCATAATAAATAAACATCAAGAATCAAACAATAGAGCAAATACTAGAATTTTCCACGCAAATGAATCTCCATCTCCTCCAACATTAGAATTTCCTGATGTCTTGTTCTGCAGTAACTTCATCAAGGGATAAGCAGGCAACTTTAATGTTTAGTAGTGAAAATATTTCTAATTTATTTTTTACATCTTGTTCCTCTTTACTAAACCAATAAAAGAACGAGTGTTCCAATTTCATTCACCATAGGATTATGAGCTTGGTAGACAAAAAAAGCTTTAATACAATTCCTTGAAGAATAGAAGTGAAAGAACCATAGTTTATTCAGCTTTAATTTAAATTCCACCTATTGTCTCTGTAAAGCATACTTTAGTCGTCGCCTGTCACAAATTTGAGGAGGTGGTAGTTTTCAAATCTTGTCAAGATCAAGAAAGTAAAGGTGAAAATGGTCATGAAAACCCTCCTGATGAAAATAGAAAGTACAGATCCATACATGACTCAACTCTTCAGAAAGAGGAGTCACGAATATATTCAAGCGAAGTACATGTTTCCTTACAAGACAATGCACATTTATCCCTTGTTATTATACTCACTGGGCTATTTTGCAAATATCTTCATATTCAATTGCCTTGAGGACTCTGCCATCATAAGGACCTTTCTCTATCTGCACCTTGGCACAAAAGTGATCTGTATCAACCCCTAACAATCTTGCTGTAGATCCGCGATATGCTCCATTTACTATCTTGACAAGACCACCAATTTGAGGAATCACAGTTTCAAGCTCTGCCTGATCAACTCTGAGCACGTGCTTGCTTTCAAGCATTTCTATTTCCCCAACATATTTGTCAATCACCTTTAGAACAACACCTTTTTGCTTGTAATACCCTTTATCAGCCAAGGCTTTGCTCATGACCTTCACAACGATTCCCTCACACAACCAGTAATCTTTTCTATTAAACTTCTCCTTTTTCTTCTCTTCCTCTCGCATCAATTCATCCAATGTTGATTTTCCACCACCACTCTCTTTCCTCTTTAAAGAGCCTCCATGGTTCCTTCCTTCCTTTTCGGCATCCTCAACCTCATCGAACACTACCTTTGGTACCTCCAGTTTTTCCTTGGTTATAGGTTTTGCCGATGAACCAAGAGAAAATCCAATCTTAATACCATCTTCCACTTTCAACTCTCTTGGAAGCTCAGCCTGTGAAGGTTGATCAGATCCAATAGCAGGTGGCTGCATCAACTGCTCGGCTTTTTCTATTTGCTTTTGTATCTCCTTCTCTTGCTTCTCTTCTTCTGCCATGTCAGACTTTATTCTCTTATTCTTCATCCTCTCTTTGAAAAGAGTCTCAGAATCTCTATCAATATATGTGATAAACCAACCCTTGGGTGTTTCTTCAACCTTACACTTGCCAGTCCGACCCAAATACTTGACAAACTCAGTTAGTGTAAGCCATCGGGTGGAATTCATATGAACGTGGTGTCTATCGCTAATGTATTCATTGTAAACTACTGTAGCTGCTATTCGACTGAACCGGTGGCTGCGCTTCATGTGCTCAAGAAATGAACTCTCAAACTCTTCAGAGTAGCCCTCAACTATCCGAGAAGGGTTTTGTCCAAAGATTTGCATTTGACGCTGGTGACTTTCACTCATGCAGTGACACTTGAACCCATTCTCATCTCGACATTGTTTCTGACACATCTGGCAGTACCATCGAAGCTTCTGCAGCCCCTTTGCTTTGATGCGATTAGCAATTGCCTTTGGTGTAAGAAACTCATTCTTTCCCATTGTCAATCTGCATCAATTATCTCTAAAAATTCAATAATTTCTGTGAAAGAGACCCAATCAGAAATTTAAATGATGACCAAAACAAATATGGATTGATACATACAGAAGAGACAACATATAGAAGTAGTTTAGAAATATAATGAGCGTTAGCATTTTCTCATGCTTCAGCAGATTAAAACAGAGACAAGGAGATGGAGTCATAAGCGAGCCTAAATTACACTCTGGGGACATTTGCCCCTAGAAGTCTTTGAAATATGCATAGTTGATATAATACCCTTTTAATTTATGTTCTAGACACTCTGACACAACTTGAGACAAGTCATTAACAAGATCATACATCACAAATACCTAGAGAATTTTCTCAACTGATGATAACATAAAGAAATTAATAAACAGAATGCCAATACACAATAATTCCAACATTACAAACAACACAATCCAAAGCATACAAGTCGCTAGTAATCAAAATGAAGAGGGCACTGCTATGGCTGAAATAATACCCATTACCCAGGAACTCTGTTTATGCTGGAATTACAATTACAAGAAAGTAATGATCTTCTCTGATTGCTTCGAAGCTATTCGTTTAATCACCAAGGGATGTGAAGCTTCCCACCCATTCCATGACATTATTGAAGGAGCTGGGTATTCCATCACAAGAATTGGAGCCTCATTTTACAAGACTTCTGCAGAGAAGCAACTATTTTGCTAATTATTTTGCTACTTCCTCTCATAATTTAGATAGTCCCTTTTGTATCTTTGATCATCCACCACCTCTCAACCTAGAGGTGGAGAATGATGAGAGAGCTCCTGACAAAACTAATTTCTGTTATGTTTAGTTTATGAATGTATTCAACTTCATATTCAAAAAAAAAAAAAAATGAAGAGGGTAGGACGTAAAATAGCCAATTACACACCATTAAAGCAAAAGCTAGTAAAAAAATAATAAACTCAAATGGTAATATTCCTAAATTCAAAAGCGTAAATATTCAAACGATTAACGACCAGATTAAGAGCCAAATTAAAATGAAAAAAATTAAAACAAAGCAAGAATGGTCACGCAGGGAATAGATGATGTGGGGAACAACTTGAAATCTAGATTCAAAGCCTGATGAAACAAATCAATATCACTGATGGAGAAGGCAAAGCCCTAGGGTTCGAACCTTCTTCACTGCTTACTCAAGAACAACTATGCAGGGCCGGCAACAGTAGACAGCGTCCGACAGAGTGCAGAATGCTTGTTCGTCAACGAAGAAAAATAGATCTACAACTTCTTGTGACAAGATTGTCCATAATTAACTTCAAGAGAATTAGGCGTGAGCTGAAATAAAAACATAATCTTGTTTGTTATCAATTCTGCCCTCTTCATGGCTTCCAAGCAATCAGAGAAGATCATTACTTTCCTGTAACTGTAATTCCAGTATAAACGGATTTCCTGGATAATGGGCATTATTTCAGCCATAGAAGTGCCCTCTTCATTTTAATAACTAATGACTTGTATGCTTTGGATAGTGTTATTTTGCAATGTTGGAATTGTTGTGTATTGGCATTCTGTTTATCAATTTCTTTACTAGTGCCCTCTTCTCTTCTTATTCAGAAGTTGTTCTTTTACCAAAACTAGCTAGACAAACAGATTTTTCGTTACTCTTATGAGATGCAGACGCAACATTACCCACCTTACGGGCACACAAATTATCATCCACCTTACTACTAGTAGCACCCACATTTTTACTACAAGTAGAACCCCCCAATTTAAATATATTTCTTTTGACTAGAAGACATTTTTTACTGCATGTAATGGGACGCACAAGGCAATTAAATAAAATCAATTAGCCACTACACTAGACAAGTTAAAGAAAGAGCATGAAAGAAAACATTTCAGCAGCAGCAGATTTCAATAGAGTTAAAAATGAAAATTTCAGCAGCATTAGACAAGTTGAAGTTGAACAAGGTGCACGAAATGAACCAACAGCACGAAAGGACCCAAAAAAATTCAGCAGCAGATAAAATCGATTATAACTTCAGATAAAATCGAAAATATTTGTTACAAAAAAAAATTCATCATTCCAATTTCAGCTTCAGATAAGATCGAAATCTATTAGAGTTAAAAATTAAAACTAACGAAGACCCAACTTACAGGAATGCAGAGGACCCAGATAGGGGAGGTCAGGAGGTGAGTCTGGAATCCGGACCTGAGCTCGAGCCAAGAAAGAACCGAAGAAGAAGGACGAAGCCGGAAGAATGAAGAATTTTGGCGAGGAGAGGACGATCAGATTCAGGGAACGGAAGGGTTTTCGACGCGAGCGTTAAATACTAAGCATGAGGCCGTGATCGGCGAGGGTCGCCTTTTTCCGAGCAGAGAAGACGGTCGCCGTCGCCGTCGCCGTTGCCGAAGAAAGGAGGAGAAGAAGACGGGCGAGAAGGCGCGAAGCTAAAGCGGTGTCGCGCAGACGCGAGAGAAGGGTTGGGCCTGGAGTCGTGCGCGTGTGATAGCAGAAGCAAGCAAGTCAATTTACACTTAATTCGATTTTTTTATTAAAAAATAAATAAATTAGTTCGGCTATTTTTACACTGAAGGAGTTAGCTTCGCTCCATTTCTCATTTTATTTACTTTCTTTTCATTTTCCATCCTAATCATCAATTTTTTTAATAATTAAACTTTAATATTTTATAAAATTAATTTTTATTTTTAATAATAATCTTAAATCTTGAATTATTATTTAGATAAAATTAATTATATCTTAAATTCATTTATTTATTTTCATAAATTTAATGTTTAAATAATAATTAAAAAATTAATTTTATAAAACATTGAATCTCAACCATCCAAAAATAGACCCAATGGTTGATATGAAAAATTGCGAGAAAGTGAAGAGAAAAAAAATGGAGAGAAGCCACTTCAATTTTCTCAATCTTATTCAATGAATTTGAATAAGTTCGAAGCAAAGGGTTTTTTTTTTTTCTCTAAAATGCTAAAATTGATCCTAAAATTTTTTAAACTTATTAAGGTTGGCTATTGAATGACCCAAGTTACCCCCGCTTTTGTTCCTTACAATGAGTAAGGAGCCACCTAAGCCATCTTTTTTACATGGCATTCCCCCTTATTTTATTATATTAGATATATAAATTTTTCTCTTTAACATTTGACAATAATACTTTAAGCACCCAACTGTATAATGGTGATTTAGATGGGCCAGCCTTATTTAAATCAAGCTTATTCGAATTAAACTTAAAGTATTCTATCATATAAAAAAACTCATATAGTCAAGCTCGATTCTAATATTTGGGCTTTCAAGCTTATATAGACTGGCTTGAATACCTAAATTATTAAATTTTATTTTATTTTATTTTTTATTTTGTTATCTAATTTCAATTTTTATTATTTTTATTTTATTTTCTTAATAATAAAAAAGGAATTTGGGATATTCAGGGTAAGCCCATTCGCTCCCAAGCTTGGCTTGAATTTCTTCAAGTTTATTCGGGAAGCCAGAATAAATTCGGAGTAAAAAAATCTTTTAAATTTCTAAGTCTGGCTCTAAAATTTTTGGGGCTTATTTGGATTAGTCTATCGGGCTTAGCCCAAATTACTGCCTCTATCCAAGCAATCAAAAGGTGATTCATCTAATAATTGAGAACTAATGTGAGCATCTTTGGCTAGCCAAATAAAGCGTGGATGTGAGAATATGGGCTAACCTAAATTATATGGGCTGGCTCATATGGGTTAAGAGAAATATGAGTTGGATTAGATTCAACCTATTTTTATATGGGTTGAAAAAACCCAATCCAATCTAATTCTTGAGAGTTGACAGGTTAAGTAGACCATCTTGCCAACCCATTTATTTATTTTTAATTTTTTAAATTTTTTAAAAAATATGTCTAAATAATGAGTTTCAATTTGATATTCCTTCATGATTCATATTAAATGTATCAAAATATTAATTTATAATATTTGTACAAAATATAAGAATTGATTCAGCTAAATAAGTGATGTTAAATAAGGTTTATATCCACAAAATTTTCTCCTATTTTCTTTTTTTAAATTTTTTTAATATTATGAGTTAAATGGGCCAACTCTAACTAGTGTATCTATTATTTAGAAATACATGTATTTTTTAACTAACTATAAATTTTAGGGACGTAATTAATATTAATTTTTTTTAAAATACTTATTTATATTTTTATGGACCCTTTTCCATCAATTTTAAAGTTCCTTTTTATAATTTTTTGAGTCAATTAATAGTTAACTTTTTTAATCCTAGTATATTATTTTTAAATGTTGAGAAAACAAATGCACAATACGCAAATTTAGGATACACTACCCCAAAACAAATATCAATATCAATATCGAATCCTCTTATGCATTGTCGTGATATCCTTCCATAAATTCAATTGGGCTTATCAATATCAATATGAATATATCACAAATAATAATTCTTCATAATTGTCGCACTCGAAAATGCGACGCGAACGGTGTGAGAGAGTGAAAGTTTTGACCTTCGAGGTGAGAACAAGATGAAACGAGAGTCGTTGCCAAAATTTTAAGATCAATCTTGGAAAATCAATTAAAGGAGGCAAGGATGATTTGCAAAAATAGAAAATATGTTCGGGAGTCGATTGAGTGTGAGGAAGGTGTTAGGTATCCCACAACACCCATTCGTGAAAACGATTACCTGAAATTTGTTGTGCTAAATTAATATAATTTTAAAGTTATTTTAATTATTTCTTTTTTATTTATGTGTTTTAAAAAATGATAATAATAACGTAGGAAATATTTATTTATTTGCGAGAGAGAATTTGACTCAGAATCAGACTCTGAGGCCTATGTACCCTGTAATGGGGATTAAAGTCCACGTAGTTTGGGCTTATAAATTATTGGTTAAAATATTGTTTGAAGAGAAATTGATTAAAAATAATTTACTATTTTGCGGATAAAATAATTTTCGGAAATTTGATATGGTTGTTTTAAATTGCAAAAGAATAATTTAATTTTAATTATTTTCTCAATTTTAAAATTCTAAAATAAGAAAAGAAAAGAGTTTATAATTATTTTTTTATATTTTATGATTGAGAATTTAACCGCTATACTTGCATAACCTTATTGGTTCATACGATAATGCAATTCTTCTAAATATCTATGAAAATTCTAAAATCTCACACGATAAAAGGATTTAGTGACTTAATATATTTCTTTAAGCATATATATGTGTTTCTAAAGAATATTAATCATCATACCTGCAAAACCTTATTACTTATACGGTAATATGATTATCCTAAATATCTGCAGAGATTCTAAAATCTCACACGATAAAAGAATTTAATAACTTAATTTATTTTACTTAAATTTTTAAGTATTGATAATATATTTTAAGTGTGTATATACATATTTACATTTTTTTAAAGACTCTTAATTGTCAAACCTGCAAAGTCTTATTAACTTATACAGTAATATAATTATCTTAAATATCTGTGGAGATTCTAAAATCTCACACAATAAAAAATTAAATTTATTTAAATATGTTTTTATTAATTTACCAAATTTATTATTCATGTGATGTACATTTTATATGAAATTATAATCGGTGTACCTACGAAGCTCTACTAACTCACATGGTAATGCAATTATTTTAAAAGTTTACAGAGATTTAAAAATCTCACATGACTTAAAAATTTCATTAGTAAATGTGATTATAATTCAAAAATTATTAATTTAATTAATTAAAAAAATGTTTATCATTTTATTTACAAAATTCATTTATTTATTTCTATACAAATTGAGAATCACAATATCTGCCAGGATTTATTATCCTACACGATAATGTGATTAATTCAAGCCTTTATGAAGATTTTTTTGAAATTTTACTTGAAACTTAAATAAATTGTATATATAAAAAGGAGAGTTAATTTGAATGATAGGCCATTGGAGCCTATGTTTATTATATAAGATTGATTCTCATACTTATAAAATCTTATTAATTTACATGGTATGAAATTATTTTAATCGATTATGGAGACTCTTAAAATCTTCACACAACTAATTTTATTTGAGACAATTGAAGCCATGTTATTAAGCACAAAATTTAAGAATACATGGTCAAATTCATGCAGATTTAGGTCTTACTTGTTCAATTGTCAAAGTAGCCTAGCAATCTTTGTAATTATGGTTCAAGAAGCAAAGAATTGTAATTTAAAAAAAAATGCATTCCCCTTAAGTTAACAACAACATAATTAATTGAAGCTAACATTGTTTAAATAGCATAAAGTGAAACTTCTGAGATTAATCATAAAGGCTAATTCCTAAATTTTAAAGACTCCAAAATGTTGTAAAACACATACATACTTCGACCTTTAGGGAGAATGAATTCAAACCACACCTTGCTACCTAAAGCCGAGCATATGCTAGTTAAAACCATAAACTTCACCCAGTTTTTTTATTTTCATCAAACTTTTATTATCTAAGTGTTTCCACATAACATTTTGATTGTTTAAAAAAAAAACAAAGCCACACGATTTACAACTTCTTAAAAAAAAATCTCCAAGATTAGCCAAATCATGAAACAAGCATACTAACGATTTTAAATATTTAAACTCATAACGTAGGACCAGATTTCAGCAATATATATCTACAAATTCCAGATGGTGCCTAATTTATTGTGTCACTTTTTCTAGTTGGCATCTTAAACACACCCCACAAGCACACATAATTCATCAAAACCTAGAGCGATCGGCTACTATAATAGGATCATCAGGCTACAACAAGTAAATTTGATTAATATTCGAGAAAGTGGTTTTAACCTTTTAATCCATACAACTCTGAATGAAACAAACACCAATACAATCCCTTTGAATGATGTGGAATCCTAAAAATATGCACTTAGTTTGAATTACTCTATTCCTAAAGCAAATCAAATTTCATGGAGTAGAACATGATGTGGAATCAAAAGGCAAAGCAATAATTTAAATCACGAAAATTTGATTCTCAAACCGATTGCAGGAAGGAGATATTGGTCTTCGGTCCCTCCAAAAATCCTCTTCTTCCTCAATCCTTCTCATGTTCTCTCCCCAAATAGAAGTAAAATCTCAAATTGATTCTCGGTTCTTCCTCTAGAAAATCCACTCAATCCTTCAGTCTAAGCTTTCTATTTTTTTTTGAAATTTCTCTCGTCCTCCTCCAGAAAAATCCCCCTCTCTCGGTCTATTCTTCTCAAAAATTTTCTAATCTCTCTCCTTCTTCGTTCCCCTCCAGAAATCCTCTCCTCTCTTTATCCTTCTCAGATCCCAGGCTTTATATAGAGTAAATGATTACTTACCATTACACGCTTCCATCTCAGACTGCCATCTCTATTCTGCCTTTCCTAATGACGTGCATCTCTCTCTTTTACCCTTTTCCCCTTCTTCTGCTGTGTCGCGGTGTGTGCATCTTTGCCTGGGTTGCTTCTCTATGTGCATTTTCGTCCGCTCTTCATTTCTCCTCTTCTTTCCTGACTCGCCCGTGCGTCTCTGTG